TATAAGGTAAAAATAATAAAACAAGGTCTTTGTCTGTAATGATTAGACATGTTTTTTATTATTGTCATTAGTGATTATCTCAATTTCGGCTAAAAGAATTGACAAAATCCTACAGACTGTGCCTTTAAGAGGGAGAAGTTGAACAGGTGGTGGCTGAATACGGTGAATACTTTTTGTATGTTGGGGATGAATTTTCCCCAGGCATGGTCTGATAACCAGGGTCAAAGTTTACAGTGTCAGAATCATATTGTCTCAGTGGTTTAAATGCCTTTTAATGGAAGAGCAAAGACAGAGTTTTTTATGTAGTTTTTTATCCTCTCTCCAGTCACACAGAGCATCGAGCTGCTCCCAGACACCTTCAGTTATGTTTGCTATTGTTAAGAGAATTTGTTAGCAGATCTGAATTCACAAAACAAAGGTGTTCTTTAGGTACGACACTGTCCTGTAAAAACCCATCTGTAAGAACAAAATATGACTGTGACGACACCTACTTCTCCACTTCAGTGATCCACAGTGTGTCCTCTACTCCATTCTGCATGACAGGCTGCCGAGGCACGTTTTTACCCTGCTTCAGAGAGTTGGACTTGGTGGTGATTGTTCGCACTTTTGCTACCTGGAACCAAAATATCCAACAGTAGTGAGTTTTCCCACGTGTGGCTCAATCGGAGCCTCCAACACAACGGTAAACAATCAGAAGTGCAGACTCTGTGGCTCACCCGGGCTTCTCTACCGAGCTCTAAGCAGGCCTGGAGATCCAACTTGTCTGTCTGGGAAGCTATAATTGGCCTGATGAGACGTAAACAGCAAACAAACTTCATTCAAATCAAATAAAAACATGTTATCAAAGGTTTTACAAAGCACTTTCAAAGATAAAAAACAATAAAGATGAAAATACACAGGAAAAATGAACAAATAAACAAACCTAGAACTCCTTGAACGAATTCATACTGCCTTTCATGTTTTCATGTTCAACTAAAAGCAACTGTTTTCAGTTGTTTTAGTCAAACCTTGAAAATAAGGTCACAAGATGTCACACTCAAAGTTGTAAATGACTCTCAGTTACTACATCAATTTTGCTACAAATATCTTGAACTGGATCTTCTCTAATAGTTAATCAGTTATAGATATACACCTAATGGTTACTTATTCAAAGTTTCATTAAAACCATCCAGTGATTCATGAGATGTTTTGCTAACAGACAAACAGGGTTGAATTCAGTGGATAATGCTTCAGTTTTAGGCAAAGATCATGTGCCATGAGGAGGACTTAGAGAAAGTGTTGTAAATAACTCAGCAACAATTACACCAATTTTTAATGAAATATCAGTAAAATAAACTGAATCATTCCAATATTTCCAGGATCACTTGGCTGTAGCAGCCGTCTTTACATGGGCTAACTCAAAAAAGGTGAACAAGTTGAAGATTTATATACAATGATTACTTCCTAATTACTCTAGGTTTCATTATGATTTGTTGCTAACAGACGGAAAGCCACAGGGAAAATATCACTAAGCCTTGGTTTTTTGGAAGTAACTTGTTTTCTTACATCTTTTCATGATATGACATGAAATGTATTTTTATGGTAACAGGTAGAACTCATTAGTAGAAAATGCCTTACCTGCTCATCCCAGGTATGTTTCCCCAGAAGTAGCGAGCTCTATGTGCAGGGCTCACTTTCACAGCATCCACTAGTACTGGGTTGCACTGTGAAAAAGTGCAGCAAAAACCAGTTGAGATGGTAAAAATACAAGCAAACTAGGTACGCTGTAGCAGTAGAATATATGACCTCAGCCCTTACACAAAGCAGCCACACACCAGAACTCACATTCAGGTTGTGGCTGTTTAAGATGTTCTGGAGTTTATATAAGAAGTGACTTTAGAATGGTCATTACAAGTAAGATGTTTTGTTGATGGAAAACAAAAACAGATCAATTTTTGGGTCTATTTGAGTAGAGTGATGATGAAACAAACTATATTTACATCCATCCATCCATCCATCCATCCATCCATTTTCTTCCGCCTATCCGGGGTCGGGTCGCGGGGGCAGCAGCTTCAGAAGGGAGGCCCAGACCTCCCTCTCCCCAGCCACTTCTTCCAGCTCCTCCGGGGGAACTCCAAGGCGTTCCCAGGCCAGCCGAGAGACATAGTCCCTCCAGCGTGTCCTGGGTCTTCCTCGGGGCCTCCTCCCGGTGGGACGTGCCCGGAATACCTCACCAGGGAGGCGTCCAGGAGGAATCCTTACCAGATGCCCGAGCCACCTCAACTGGCTCCTCTCGACGTGGAGGAGCAGCGGCTCTACTCTGAGTCCCTCCCGGACCGAGCTTCTCACCCTATCTCTAAGGGAGAGCCCAGCCACCCTGCGGAGGAAACCCATTTCGGCCGCTTGTATCCGGGACCTCGTTCTTTCGGTCATGACCCAAAGCTCATGACCATAGATGAGGGTAGGAACGTAGATCGACCGGTAAATCGAGAGCTTCGCTTTCTGACTCAGCTCTCTCTTCACCACGACGGACCGGTACAGCGCCCGCTTTACAGCAGACGCTGCGCCAATCCGCCTGTCGATCTCCCGCTCCCTTCTTCCCCCATTCGTGAACAAGATCCCCAGATACTTAAACTCCTCCACTTGAGGCAAGACGACCCCCCTGACCCGGAGAAGGCACTCTACCCTTTTCTGGCTCAAGACCATGGTCTCGGATTTGGAGGCACTGAGCCTCATCCCGGCCGCTTCGCACTCGGCCGCGAACCGCTCCAGCGAGAGCTGCAGATCACGTTCCGATGAAGCCAACAGGACCACATCATCCGCAAAAAGCAGAGATGCGATCCTAAGGCCACCAAAACGGATCCCATCAACACCTCGGCTGCGCCTAGAAATTCTGTCCATGAAAGTAATKAACAGAATCGGTGACAAAGGACAACCTTGGCGGAGTCCAACTCTCACTGGAAACAAGTCCGACTTACTACTGGTAATGCGGACCAAGCACTGGCACCGGTCATACAGGGACCTAACAGTCTGTATCAACGGGCCTGGTACCCCATACTCCCAGAGTACCCCCCAGAATGCCTTCTCCAAGTCCACAAAACACATGTAGACTGGTTGAACTCCCATGCACCCTCCAGGACCCTGCTGAGGGTGTAGAGCTGGTCCTCTGTTCCACAACCAGGACGAAAACCACACTGCTCTTCCTGAATCTGAGATTCGACTATCAGACGGACCCTCCTCTCCAGGATCCCTGAATAGGCCTTACCAGGGAGGCTCAGAAGTGTGATCTCCTATAGTTGGAACACATACTGCGGTCCTCCTTTTTAAATAGGGGGACCACCACCCCAGTCTGCCAATCCAGGGTAACTGACCCCGATGTCCACGCGATATTGTAGAGTCGTGTCAACCAACACAAACCCACAACATCCAGAGCCTTGAGGAACTCCGGGCGAATCTCATCCACCACTGGTGCCCTGCCACCGAGGAGCTTTTAACCACCTCAGTGACCTCGGCACCAGAGATTGGAGAGTCCGACCCAGGGTCGTCAGGGTCTGCTTCCTCAAGGGAAGACATGTTGGTAGGAGTGAGAAGGTCTTCAAAGTATTCTGCCCACCGATCCACAACGTCCCGAGTTGAGGTCAGCACGATAAGGTGGCAGCCCAGGGTGAGGCCTTTTTTTTTTTTTCAAAGTAATTGTAAAAAGTGTATCTGCATTTATTCGTGCTGGTGATGTGTGGTGAAGCCTGTGTGCTGAGGCAGAGTCTGAAAGATCAGATTCACACACACCAGTAATTAAGACTAGATCAAAATAGAGTCAGTCTCTGCTGCACTCAACAGTCTGTGTGCAAAGGTTTTCACTTCAGATCTGTTAGTCATATCACATAATACTTAAGGTAAGTGGAATCATCTCTGACAACTTGGGTGTTCAAAACTCTTTATGCTCCATTGTTTGATGCAAAAAATGTTTTGATTTAAAAGTACACACTGAGAAAACTAGATGACTAAAAACGGTCCCTAAACTAACTAAACTAGACTAAAAACATTCCATTAGCAGTCAGATACACAGATGGTGCATGGCTTCTTACTTTCTTTTAGCAGTTAAACATTTTGGTTCAACAACACATAAAAAAGCAGAAGACAAACTAAGCAGACAGAAGCAAGTTGTTGCACAACTCACTCCTTTTTAAATGCAATTTTAAATCAGACACGAAATTAATCATGTATAAAATATATGTGAAGTACATTAATACTTTCGCAGACAAAGTGCCATGAATTACAAATATCTACAAACCAAACAAACATAAGGGAGAATTTTAAATTTCAGAGTTGTATTTATTATACAAATATAAAAGAAATACTATTTGATTTTTTGATTTATCATTGTGACTCCTGGATTACATGTCACTAATCAGTGCTTGTATCAGAACCCTGCAGTCCAACTCTCAGAACTCTGTTATCTGGAGGTTTTTAGAGGTTTTATCAAATTGTTGGTGTGGAAAGTTGTCGACTTCATTGGTTCAGGATGCCATCTCAAAAAACAACTACTTCCACATGTCTGACATCGCTCCTCTACTCCCTGACTGCTCACCTGAGAGGTGCCTGTCACACTGGTGTAAAGTGGTAACTCAATACTTCAATGCGTGTGWGTACATGAAAGTAGTATTAGACAAATACCCGATACTGGTACCTGTATTGGTGCATTCCTAATTTCAAACCAAAACTTTCAGAAATGAACTGAACAAACCTCAAAGAAACGACAAATGTTGACTTTGTCGTGTGTGTTCATGAACACAACGTTTTCAAACAGCCAGAAGAACGGCCGAGGGTCCTCCTCTTTGGGCTTCAGCAGCTGCAGGATCCTGAAGTACTCAAAGAAGAGCCTGCCGGTGCCCTCTGCCAGAGAATAGATGAGTTTCAGTCAAACAATCAAGTGACGTGTACCCCGAGTCTAAAAATAAAGTATTTATATTTTATCTTCAGCTTGAGGATAAATGGTTGTAGGTGTGTAATTCTCAGCCACAGACAATCATCAGTWCCATGTAGAAGCTGGCACATACTTGACTGCATTTTGCTGACAGCCTCAACAGAAAAGAAAATGATATCTACATGTTCTACATTCAATAAAACATGAGCAGCTGGATAGGAAAAGCATACAGCAGCCAAAGGGCTGCCTGTTAGTTTCCCACTAATAAGGGTGCTGTTTTTCTGTCTCTGCACATTTTACCTTTATTACAAAACTACAAAAATCCCATAGTCTTTCCTTTGTTCTTCCTGTTGTACTGAACGTGACTTGCACAGACTGTTACACTACTCGTTTCCAGGGACTCGACCCACACCAACACGCCTACAGGAAGAACCGGTCCACTGAGGACGCCATCTCCTCTGTGGTCCACACGACTCTCACCCACCTGGAGAACAGAGACTCTTATGTGCGCCTGCTCTTCATGGACTTCTCATCAGCCTTCAACACCATCATCCCACAAACACTGGTCCAAAAACTGTCCTCCCTCGGACTGAGCTCATCCCTCTGTCAATGGGTGCTGGATTTTCTGACGGACAGGCCTCAGTCTGTGAGCATCCGCAACATGTCCTCGTCCTCCATCACTCTCAGCACAGGCGCCCCACAGGGCTGTGTGTTGAGCCCCCTCCTGTTCACGCTGCTCACACATGACTGCTCAGCAGAACACCCAGGCTGTCAGATGGTGAAGTTTGCTGATGTAGTAGTTGTAGCTGTAGTTGGCTGCATCACCAACAATGATGAGTCTGGCTACAGGCAGGAGGTGGAACATCTGGAGCACTGGTGCAGGGATAACAACCTCAGCATCAATGTGAGGAAGACGAAGGAGATGATCGTGAACATCAGGAAGGGCAACCCCCCCGCACATTGGAGGATCTGCTGTGGAGGTGGTCTCCAGCTACAGATACCTGGGGGTCCACCTGACCGACAAACTCACATAGAGTACCAACACAACCAGCCTGATCTGGAAATCCCACCAGCGCCTCTACTTCCTGAGACAGTTGAAGTGAGCAGGACTGACGGGCCCAGTCCTGACCTCCTTCTACAGGTGTGCAGTGGAGAGCATCCTGTGCTCCTGCATCACTAGCTGCGTTTCCATTGACCATGAAAATGCGCAAATTAGAATTTCGAATATAAATTTGCCCAATGGAAACACGTCAATTTCGAAAAMAATTACGTTTTTCGACAAAATGTTTTTGCGCTWGGATGATGTGGTATTTCGGTCGTTTCAAAATTGGTGTTTTTCGCAAAACTACAATGGAAACACTTTTTTCACATCACAGGAGTCACGTGATCAACAACTGTCTGTTTCTACTGGTGAAAAAGACGATGACGAAGAAGATAACAGGAAGTAGAAATAGTAGTAATATCACAGAAGTAGTATAAAATAGTAAACTCACCGACTACAATTTCCGAAAAACACAGCATACGTAGCCGCTCCCAAGTAGGGACTTGTCTCTGGAAAGCCTCGATAAAAGACGCCGACGTCTCCTCTGATGATGAGCGCTAGTGTCGTGGTAGCAACATGCTATGTCGCCGCCATGTTTGTAATGACTTATCATGAGAACAAACGTATTCACGCGTGACTTTAATAACATTTCTTACTTAATGGAAACACTGCAGTTGTGAAACAGTGTTTTTTCGACATTAACAGAATATCGACAAAGTTTTGCGCACATTTGCAATGGAAACACGGCTAATGTGTGGCATGGCAGCTACTCTGCAGCAGAGAAAATGTCTCTGCACAGAGTGGTCAAAGCTGCACAGAAGATTGTTGGGACCACACTCACCGGCACAGAAGACATATCTAGACGCAGGAAAAAAGCCACCTGCATCAAGAGAGATCCCACCCACCCTGCCCACACCTTCACCCCACTGTYATCAGGCAGAAGGCTGCGGAGCATCAGGAGCAGAACCAGCAGGCTGAGAAACAGCTTCTACCCTGAAGCTGTCAGGTTGCTGAACTCTGGGTGGGGGGGGTTGTAGCCCTTCTGCTCCAACACTGTTAGACTATACCTGCTGCTACGGTTGTATTCTTTTACACACTCTGTTGTTGGTCGTTGCTGCTTGTCTGTGTAATTATATGCACCCTTCATAATTTTTATTTTTTTTACTGAACTGACCTGTGCAACCAGTTTCTTTCCATCTCATGAACATTAGATGTTTGTGTTGAGAGAATGACAAACAAATATTCTTGAATCCTTAAAATTTTCACATGCATGCAACAGCTACCTACCGTAAAGGCCTTTCCTGAATGGATTTACAATGGAGAGGTCATTACAGGGGCTGCCACCAATCATCAAATCAAACGGACCCCAACTGTCGAGCTGAAAAAAAGGACACAGACCTTACTGATACACAACAAAGGTTAAACATTTAGAGTTTCAACTTTGCATGTTTCACAAAGAGGTGGATTCAGCCGATCCCTCGAGAAGATGCAGGTTGTGTTGATATTTATTTTTAACTACTATACTTAATAATYGAATAAGTAAACAAACATTGGTGGGCAGCACTAAACCAAAAGTTAGTTGTGTAATTCCTAAAGCACTTGCTACATTATTTAGGTGTTCTAGTTCTAGTTCTAAAGGGCTTTCACTCAATAAAACTTAGTGGAAGCTAATTCTAAAGCACAAAATGGACTCAGAGTTCAYCAGAGTACATTCCAGTGAGAACACGAGCCACTCTTGTGTAATACTTTGTGTAATACTGCCGACTAGAGGCACGTCCCTTTACAGCGTTGTACATATCGCCGCAGTTTGGGGAGGTGATTTGTTGAAACAGACTGTTGGCTCATGGTGTTAAATAAAAAGTTGTTGAGGATTGCTAGTTCTGCAGCTTCTTGGTCATTTTCTTATGTTTATGGTAGGGCTTTGGTAAGAAAACATGCAATATGTACGGCCACCAAAAAATGATTACGGTACACACTAATATTTGGTTGGACCTTTATTTTTGATTATGTTACATTTTCTGTGTTGTTTGATAAGCTTCAATGTCAGCAGATTTATTTCATCCAGTGTTACATTATTATTTTTAAATCTTGCATTGATGATGGTAGAGTCTGACCTTCTCCAACTCATCCCAAAGATTCTCACTGGACTCTGTGGAGCCAATCCATGTGTGAAAATGATGTCTCATACTCCCTGAACCACTCTTTCACAATAAGAGCCCCATGAATCCTGGCATTGTCATCTTGGAATATGGTATATAAACAATCATTGATGGAATAACCTGGTCATTCAGTATATTCAGGTAGTCAGCTGACCTCATTCTTAGAGCACCTGAACCTAGACCTGACCACCTGCAGAGACCCCACATCATAGACCTGTTAGATCCTGGTGGACACTTGGCTGAGCAGTATATTAGTAATTTTAAACTGTTTATTGGAGAACTGAAGTGATGCATTCTGGGTACAGGACAGATTCGTAACGGGAAGCGAACATGGAAGACAGGAAACGGTCTTCACTTCAAAATAAGAGCACAAATTTAAACTATTCCCTACTTATGTTATGGCTCCAGTTACTGCTCCTTCTCAATGGGCATGGTTCTACTTACTCTGGTTCTACCCTGGTTCTACTCTGGTTCAGGTCTGCTCAGGTGTGTGTGTCACCATGTCCCTCAGTGTGTGTCTGTGTGTGATTATGGGTGGACCAATCACAGCGCTGTTGTGTTAAAAAATAAATAAATAAAAAAGCCATTGAGATTTAAGGGTTCTGTCTTTTATTTATTTATTTTCCTTTATGTTTGCTGTTTATAAGTGCTTGTGTAACCATGGGTGGACAGTTTGTTGTAAACCTCCTGGGATATCTGCTTGGCTTCCTCTCCTTCACCTCTCTGCCTTTCCTCTGTCAATCAATCTGAGAGCTAATCCACGGGCAGCGTTCTGCTGACRTCAGAATCATAAGTGTGCTGTACTTTTTCTTCTCCGAACCATCAGGAGGTACAAACTGTGCAGCTGGTTCTGTGTGGTTGGAACATGAAGACACATTCGGCCAAAGCTGAACCGAGCAGAACCACAACAGATGCACCGGTGGAGAAGGGCTGGGACTGTCGCCCAATTGCTTCCTGCCATGTAAACAAAGAAGTGTGGGAATTGTCTCTTAAAGGGGCAATATCATGTAAAATCAACTTTTTTGAGTTTTATATCATGTTATAATGTTAAACTCTCATAAAAAACATGTCCAAAGCCTTGCTCTGACTCATTCATGTATGTTTGAGAAATCCTGCAGTGTTTTTATGAAGCCATGCTGAGGAGCAAAACGACAGGTGGGGACCAGAAACACCTTTTGGGACATGTCTTTAAGCCGAACTTCCTCATGGGAAACATACAGAAAACATAAAAGCAACAAGAGAGTGGCCAAGTTGTTGTAAAATGATTGTTAATATGATGAAACTGTGGTGGTTGCAGAAATCTCTCTTTATTGTCATCCAATGCTGAAATACATGGACCGTGCTACTAGGTGGCAAGACTGCTCACTGTACAGATATCAAAAAACTGAGCTTCTGAAAGGAGCCATGTCCTGGGACTGGGACGTCCATGGTTAGACAAGCACTTAGAAAACACTGACATGACAAAAAGAGTCTGAAAACCAAACATTAAACCACAGCAGCTTCAGCCACGAGCTGATGATCCACACACCCACACACACACACACACACACACACACACACACACAC